ATCATATCAAATATTTTATTACAGAGTATAATTTACAGTGCCGCGCACAAGATTGCACTGTATCCTTTAAAAAATTTAATCATATTTTTACTTAGCTTGTTGGTTTTGCTTGTAAAAGAAAATCTATAAAATATTTGGAAAGCAGCTTTGACTTGTGACTTTGTGAGTGAGAAAGAAGCATATAATCCAATCCTCTGCAGAATAACCAACTTTATTCCATCCATATCTTCTAAGAATAATCTTGGTTTTGTATACACGAAATCCATTTTTCTTCCTTTTCATAATAATAATTATTTGGAATCTGTATCTTTTTGTTTTTTACTTTTTGACTGACCATTTGGAAATTATTTATTTATTTCATTTTACTTTAAAAAAAAAAAAACAAAGAAAAATAGATTAATAAGTAACACATTAATTTTAAATACAATTAGGGTCGCTCGAACTAAACTTAGAGGCTAAGTCATTCGTTAAAATTTGAATTAATTATAGGTTAACCATCTCAAAACATGACGAACTGACATACTACATATAGTTTGAATTAAAATCATACACTCCTTGATGATAAAACCCACATAAGATAAGTCTTCAAACATGTTAGAGTATCAAGCTCCATGATGATATTATCCTGCACTTTTTTTTTTTTTTTTTAACACTTTGAGAAATCACACTTTTATATGTCAGTTCAAAAGAGTGGTACTATATTTATCCGAATTTTATCTTTTCATTATTATTTATTATTATTATTATTATTATTATTATTATTATTATTATTATTATTATTATTATTTGTATTTACCTACTAATAAATTGATTTCATTTTAAAGTGAGATGGGATTGACTCATTCAAAGGTAATTAATTAAAGGGATAAGGGTCAAATAGACCCTAACTATATATTAAAGTGTAATTAGACTCTTGAACTAAAAAAAAAAAAAAAAAAAAAAAAAACCTTCAATTAAACCCTTAAATTAGTTAAAATAGTGCAATTAACATATTTGACCTATAATAGCATGTTACCTTTAAGTCACCTGCCACGTAGAATTTCACGTAAAATGCCATGTCAATTAATATTTTAAGTTTAGTTTTTTTAAGTAAATTAATTATATTATGTTTTTTGAGACAGGGGATCCCTTCACGTGGTTTGAGACAGGGGATCCCTTGTCTCCTTATGTGTTTATCATTTGTGCTAAATGTCTTTATTTTTGTTACAACAGGTTCAGAATTCAGGAGCTATTCATGGTTTTAGGGTAACAACTAACAAGATGAGCACCTGTGATCTCACACTTATTTTTCGCAGATGACAATTTACTTTTCTTTAAAATCAATGCTCAGGAAGTAAAGCAATATAAAGCCTACATACCTATGAGTACCTTTCTAGCCAAGCTGTCAATTTTCATAAGTCACATGTTTGTTTTAGTAAAAACACTTCTGAGGAAGATCTTGTGTAACAAGTTTACTTGGTGTTGCTCAATCTGCTAATTTTGGTAAGTATTCGGGGCTTCACTGCGTTTGTAGGAAGGAATATACGTGTTGTTTTTTCATATATTGAGAATAAAGTTGAACCGGTTTTTGGTGGGGTTCTAGTGGTGGCAAATGGTAGAGGTATTCATTGGATTGCTTTGGGTATCCCTGAGAAGTTTTGGGGTTTTGGGTTTTAAAGATTGCATGGTTTTAACTTAGCTATGTTGGGGAAACAAAGGGTTGAGATTTCTTACTAAGCCACATTCACTGGCTGTAGGCGTTTATAAAGCAATGTATTTTCCTAACTCCTCTTTTATTGATGTCTCTTTAGGCAATCGTCCCGGTCCCTATTTTTGTCGGAGTAGTATTATGGTTGCTCATGAGCTTATTTGTAGTGGGGTAAGACATAGAATTGTGAATGATGCTAAAACTATGGCTTGGGGTGATCCTTGGTTACATGGTGATTCAAATAAGATGATTCAGACCATAATGCCACATTATCTCTGTGTACTAGCAGGGACGGAGCAAGAAATTCGGTTGAGGGGGCGAAGAAGTAGGGACGAATTCTGAATTTTTTTTCAGTAAAGGCGAAACATTAAAACAAAAGAGATAATTTAAATAAAAAAACACATCTCATTATTAATATAAAAGAATGTTATATATATATATACACACACATATATATATATATATATGTGTGTGTGTGTGTGTGTGTGTGTGTGTGTATTAAATATTAAAAAGGTATTAAAAACGTAACTGTGTTGAAAACATAGGGAGGGAGTTAAAAAAACTGTTATTGAGCCAAGTATAAAACTATGTTAATGCCAAGATTCAATCCCCTATCCTTTATCATAACTCAACATGTGTTCAACCAACTCTTGTTAACATTTAATAGTTTTATTGGAATAAGGGTCAAATAGGCCATTGAACTGCACACAAGAATGCAATTAGGCCACTGAACTTAAAAAACCTACAATTGGGTCCCTAAACTAACCAATTTCATTCAATTTGTCCATTTTTCAGGTTTCTCAAGTTGCTAACAAGTTACCCCTCCACCTAGGATGCATGTGTGGCATTTAAAAAAAAATTAATTTTTTTAAAAAAATCTTAAATTAGTTTTTTTTAATGTTTAATAAATAAAAATTAAAATAATTTGTTTTTTTGAAAATAAAATCCAAGCCGTCTTAACAAATTATTTTATATTCAAAAAAAATTGTTTTAGTTTTTATTTATTAAACATTAAAAAACTAATTTAAAAATAAATTATTTTAGTTTTTATTTATTAAATATTAAAAAACTAATTTAAAAATAAATTATATTTAAAACAATGACACATATGCATCCTAGGTGGAGGGTAACTTGTTAGCAACTTGAGAAACTTGAAAAATGGACAAATTGAATGAAATTGGTTAGTTTAGGGACCCAATTGTAGATTTTTTAAGTTCAATGGCCTAATTGCATTTTCGTGTGCAGTTCAGTGGCCTATTTGACCCTTATTCCTAGTTTTATTTTACTAATACTAACACATGTACTATATATACATATATACATACAAAAATTATATATGGGGTGCATGGGGGTGGGGTGTGGGGGGGAGGGGGAGCAGCTGCCCCTCTTGGCTCCGTCCTGGGTACTAGGATGACAGGTTTAATTGATCCCACCAAGCAGACTTGGACTTATCTCTGTTAAGAAATTTTCCTGCCTTGTGACATTGATCGTATTACATGCATGTTTACCATTGCGCCCGAATTATGAGGATTCATGCTACTGGTATGGAGATCCTAGAAATGTTATAATGTCAAAAATGGTTATAGAACCATAACGGGGGACCTTGATTTGCAACCTGTTGATTTTAAGAGTTGGACCAAACTTTGAAAATTGAACATCCCTCTCAAATGGAGGCCGGACCTTCCTCTAGAGAGCACTAAATGATGTGTTTTGTAGCACCACAAATTTATACCAAAAAAGGGTGGATGTAACTATGTGAAGCTCTCATGTCCAAAAGTGTGGGGGTCAAAATGAGGATATGATGCATGCATGCATTTATATATTTTGTGTGATTATTCCCAGCAGGTTTGGAATGAGTCTATGCTAGCTACCGCTGTCACGGTTGGAGGGAGTTTCTTTCTCAGGTTGGCTGGACATGTGTTGGAGCTTTGTTTAGCTCTTTATTATGTGCTAATCAAAATTCATTTCAAAAATTATTAAATATTTTAATCATAGACTATTATGATTAGATTTTTTTTTTTAAATCACTTAATAAAATTGATAGACAAAAAAGTTGATTAATAGACAATCGATATATAGACAAATTTTGTGACATTCTAAATATTTAAATTTTTTGAGCAATAAAAATATAATGCATTAATATTGTGTCTATCTCCAAACATAAAGCATGTGAACGAATAAATAGTTTGGGTGAGACTTTTAAATAGGTTTAAAATTATAAACAAATCCTATTTGCAGGTGCAAATTTATAGTGAAATTGCACTAATATTGTGACTATCTCCAAACATAAACCATGTGAATGGAAAAATAGTTTTGGTGAGACTTTTAAATAGATTTAAAATTATAAACAAATTCTATTTGGTGCATATTTATAGTGAAATTGCACTAATAATATTGTGTCTATTTCCAAACATAAAGCATGTGAACGGAAAAATAGTTTGAGTGAGACTTTTAAATTGATTTAAAATTATTAACAAATTCTATTTAGTGAAAATTTATAGTGAAATTGCACTAATATTGTGTTTATTTCTAATTATAAATCATATGAACGAAAAAATAGTTTGAGTGAGACTTTTAGATAGATTTAAAATTATTAACAAATTCTATTTAGTATAAATTTATAGTGAAATTGAATTCTAATGAAAAAAAAAAAAAAAGATATATTCCAATTCTCAAACATTTTGAAACCCAAAATACTAAATATATAGTACATTTTGTGTGGGTGTGAATATATATACAATAAAGTTTTTATTTTTTTAAAGATTATTTTAGTTTCTCTAATTTTTTTCATGCATAGCATGAATAGATTATGAGTTTTAAAAAAAAATTAATAAGGAACTAAAACTTTAAAAAGTATATTATTTATTTATTTTTATGAAATACCTCCAATTTAATATCTATATATCAACTTTAATAGTAACAAGTCATCGCATTATATAGTACTTGACTTACTTAACTTTACTTATTTCGCTTTAGTCAATTCAAACAACTATTGGGTAATTTCAACAATTAATTCTCAAGAATTATTTTTGCCACGTGTAATGCATAACTTTCAATGTCACATTTTGTTTTGTACAAATCTCTAATAGAAACTTAAAACAATTGAAATGCATCATATTTTTACTTTTGGATTACAAGGTAGTATATGTTCTATATTTTCTCTATCTATTGCTACGAAATATAACACATCGTGAAACATATATTGAATCTCAATCATCTAAGATGAATATATTAAAAAATAAATAAATAAAACATATATTGAATCTCAATCATCTAAGATGAATATATTAAAAAATAAATAAATAAAAAGTAGTAGAAGAAGAAGAGTGCTTATCAAGCTAATTTAAGGACAAAATAAAATTGTTCCTTTTAGATGTGTATATGACAATAATAACCAAAATGAACATAACCGCGATACTTACGTGGGATTTTTACTTTCGTCCATTTTTTACTCTTCAATTCTAGCACATAAGCACTATGAATTTCACCACCTTTTGTATTTATCACCATCATATTCCCCTGCCACCCTGTCACATATGTCACGTCGGATGTAGAGTCGGGGACGCGCGTGACGAACACCCATGTGTCGTCCTCTAATGCAACCACGTCACATCTTTTCCTGATTTTGTATATTACCCTGTCAATCTCCACGTCGTTAGCCTGCAACCATATGTCACGGTCGCTTACGTGCCATTGTCGGGTGACAAAGTCGAGTGTTTCAGTGGTATAACAACTGTCGACGTGGAACTCACCACATTGGAACACGCACGTGCACACGTATCGCCCGATTGACATGTCCGACAACGTCGTCCACGTGTCCCTTGCCACGTCGTACGCCAACGTTGATTTCAGCGCTAAGGTAGTGGTCGAGCTCCGTCCGCCGGCGACCACCACTGTCCCGCCATCCTCCGACGCCGCACATCCGAAGAACAGGCGGTCCTCGCCTGGCATATCGGCGCCGCGCCTCCACGTGGCGGAGAAGAAGTTGTAGATGAAAACTGAATTCAGATACCGCCGTGTCACCGGATCGCACCCCCCTATCACCGCCAGCTCCGCCCCAATACCGACCACGCTACATAACACCGGCATCCTTTCCACCACCTCCGGTATCGGCGGAAAATCATGCCAACGCCTTTTCACCGGGTCGAATAGCGTGAGCCGGAAACCCACTGTATCCAATCTGCTTAAACTAAACCTTGACTGACAGATGGCAATGACAGGTCGGGTTAGACCAGAAGCTTTCCGGCGCCGGAGGAACTCCGGCTGCTTAATCACAGCTTTCCATGCTCTACATACAGATGAAGCCTTGGGAAACTGATCAAACGAAATCCGAATAAGACATTCAAAAGCTAAGTCGTTGGGAAGACCGGGAATCAGCTCCATTGCAAGAAAACAGAGAAAAGCAAGTGATCGGAGCAGAATTATATTGCAGATTATTATATTTCAGAGTTTTGGGTTGGGTTCTTGAAGATGAAAGGAAACAATAAATAGCGTCTTTATTAAGCTTTGGGGCCAAAACCAATGTAGCTTTGTTAGGGTTGCCGAATTCTAAGTTGTATGGGATCCAAACTTTTAGAAACTTCTTTACAATTTTGGAATTATTCTATTCAAATTTTTACAAGTCCTAATACTATTTGATTTAAACTTCTAAACAAATTAAAAAAAGTAAAATAGTATTCAATTTGGACTTTGGTATTCGTGCTAGTTAAGATAAAACATCTTATGAATTTTTAACAAATTAATATTTTCTCTCTAAATTCATTTTTATTACTTTTTTAAAAAATAAAATTAATAGTATAAAAATATATCATTAAAAATTTTAAATGATATTTTTATTTAAAAAAATAGAAATATTGGTTTTTTTTTTTTGTTTTTTTTTAATTAAGCTATAATTATATTAAATCACTGTCAGTGTAAATTTAGGTTACTTAAAAATATAAAAAAAAAATTAATATCAATGTCATTTAAAAGATCTCAATTAGAGTTGGGTAATAATATATTTTTTATATATTAATTTTATTTGTATAAAAAGAAAAAAAGTACATTTAAGTTTTTTTAAAAGAAATTATGAAGTAAAATATTCAATTATTCAGAGTTTTGGGTTGGGTTCTTGAAGATGAAAGGAAACAATAAATAGCGTCTTTATTAAGCTTTGGGGCCAAAACCAATGTAGCTTTGTTAGGGTTGCCGAATTCTAAGTTGTATGGGATCCAAACTTTTAGAAACTTCTTTACAATTTTGGAATTATTCTATTCAAATTTTTACAAGTCCTAATACTATTTGATTTAAACTTCTAAACAAATTAAAAAAAGTAAAATAGTATTCAATTTGGACTTTGGTATTCGTGCTAGTTAAGATAAAAACATCTTATGAATTTTTAACAAATTAATATTTTCTCTCTAAATTCATTTTTATTACTTTTTTAAAAAATAAAATTAATAGTATAAAAATATATCATTAAAAATTTTAAATGATATTTTTATTTAAAAAATAGAAATATTGTTTTTTTTTTGTTTTTTTTTAATTAAGCTATAATTATATTAAATCACTGTCAGTGTAAATTTAGGTTACTTAAAAATATAAAAAAAAATTAATATCAATGTCATTTAAAAGATCTCAATTAGAGTTGGGTAATAATATATTTTTTATATATTAATTTTATTTGTATAAAAAGAAAAAAAGTACATTTAAGTTTTTTTAAAAGAAATTATGAAGTAAAATATTCAATTATTCAGAGTTTTGGGTTGGGTTCTTGAAGATGAAAGGAAACAATAAATAGCGTCTTTATTAAGCTTTGGGGCCAAAACCAATGTAGCTTTGTTAGGGTTGCCGAATTCTAAGTTGTATGGGATCCAAACTTTTAGAAACTTCTTTACAATTTTGGAATTATTCTATTCAAATTTTTACAAGTCCTAATACTATTTGATTTAAACTTCTAAACAAATTAAAAAAAGTAAAATAGTATTCAATTTGGACTTTGGTATTCGTGCTAGTTAAGATAAAAACATCTTATGAATTTTTAACAAATTAATATTTTCTCTCTAAATTCATTTTTATTACTTTTTTAAAAAATAAAATTAATAGTATAAAAATATATCATTAAAAATTTTAAATGATATTTTTATTTAAAAAAATAGAAATATTGGTTTTTTTTTGTTTTTTTTTTTTAATTAAGCTATAATTATATTAAATCATTGTCAGTGTAAATTTAGGTTACTTAAAAATATAAAAAAAAAAATTAATATCAATGTCATTTAAAAGATCTCAATTAGAGTTGGGTAATAATATATTTTTTATATATTAATTTTATTTGTATAAAAAGAAAAAAAGTACATTTACGTTTTTTTAAAAGAAATTATGAAGTAAAATATTCAATTATTAAGATTACAATTCTAAAATAAATTTCAAAATCTCTAAATCAATCAAGACCGATGAATTAAAATCACCAATTAAATCATTTCTCACCAAGGCACCAACAATGAAATACTACACGTCTTAATAAATAGCTATGATACGGAGTACTATTTTTAGAATATTGTAGAAACCAAGGTTCGAACCTCGGCGGCGGCAGTGTGGGAATTATGTCCAAAGTGGGCAGATTCCTTGTGCGCACCGGCATTTGGCCCTGCCTACTAACCCATTGAGTCACCGTGATTTATGATGGGGTGTGAACCCCGTGGGCTCGGGGCCCAAGAAGAAAAGAGATAAAGCCCAGACAAAGAAGGGAAGCCCAAGAAGAAAATGGAGCAAGCCCAAAAGAGATACGAGCCAAACCGAGGAGTCGGTTGGCCCGGGAGTCGGCTCGACCCGGAGGTCGGCACGGGTAGAGGGTTGGACTAACTAGCCGTTATTCCTAATTATCTACCCTTAAAAGTCCTATTTATCTACCTCATCCATAACCCCCAAATAAAGGCTACCTATTAAGTCTCCCACTTATTACCCCACTAATAACCAAGTTAATACCTATTAACTACCCTACTAAATGGTCCAACGGACACTTTTGGGGATGGGCTAGCTATAAAAAGAGGAGAAGACAAGAAGAAAGGGGGGGGGGGGGGATCCACTCACTCATACACACATAGGAGGACTCTCCCAAGCACTCTTCCTACACACTTGAAGACTACTATCACTCTCCCACAACTACTCTCCCAAGAAGGCCTCATTCCACAACATACCAAGAAGGCTCCACCACTCATCCATACAAATGGAAGGACTCTTCCACACCATTCCATCACTCTTCTTATATTATTATTGCTATATTATTAGAAACACAACACTTTGTGTAGAGAATAGCCCTACAAGTATGTACAAAGACACCTACAAAATACATAGTGGAATTAGGCTTGTCACCGCCCAAAAAGGCCCGTGGTTTTCACCTTTCGGTTTCCACGTACAAAAGCATTGAGTTATATTTTTCTACTTATTTTTCTATAAACATCATGTGAAAGGTGAATCCACCGACCAAGGTTGTGTTGGACCTCCTTGGGCCCGAAAACCCAAAAACCAACAATTTACATCCTCCCACAAGCTCTGTCGGGTCGGAGGTGGGGGGCCCTTAGGGCTGGGGATTCAGTCTTTGGGGTAAGAATATTGTAGAAACTCAACGAAAAAGTATTCAAAAGTCAGTAAAAGTATGTTTGACGTATAGATTTTCATAGACTTTAATAAAATTCATAAAATTTTCCTAATAATTTAAACGCTCTCTTAAATTCTTAATTTAAACTCTTTACATGTATAGTATAGGGTAAATCCATCTAAGTTGGTCAATTTGTTAACTGGATTAATTATAAGTTTAACTCTCAACGAGAATGATCTAATTGGCCTTCTTGGTTTGAGCCGATCAATATTGAGCAACCAATTGTAATTTACCTCTATGTGGTCATTTGTCAACTAAGATCATAACGCGGAGTTTACTCATCAATACACACCCTCGTAGGTTTCCCTCGTCACCTAAACTCCATTAAACTACATAGTATATCTATTGATAAATCTAGAAAACTAAATCTAAAACTAAACTCTTAAATACATAAAAGCGAACCCCTAAACCAAATTTTTTAAAAAAATATCATAAATTTTAAAAGGTGAACTTTGAGTTGAATAATTTTCATACTCAGTGCATGCAACTAATGATATCGTTAGGTGCATTTTATATTATTGTTGGGTGTATTTTGTGTATTTTGAGTCTGTTTGGCAGAGCTTGTTTAGGAGCTTATAGCTTATTTTAAACTACTAATAAGCTATAAGCTACGTTTGGTAATGTTAATCAAAATAAACTCGTAGCTTAAAATAAGAGCTTATTTTGGAACATTACTTTAGATAGCGTTTCAAAATAAGCTACTAGCTTCTTAACTTCTTCTTCTTTTTTTTTTTTCAATTTTGTCCTTATTATTTTAAAGAAATGACATCATTTACCTCTCAATTAAAACCATTTTCTCTTCTCCTTTATCCGCAAGTTTCACCACAATTATTATTATTATTATTATTATTATTATTATTATTATTATTATTATTATTATTATTATTATTATTATTATTATTATTATTATTATTATTATTATTATTATTATTATTATTATTATTATTATTATTAGATGAAGGAGATTTGCAACAATATTACTACTTCATTATAGGATGCTAGGTCATGATTATGCTAATAGTTTTATTTCAAAATGTTATTTTTTTTTGAAGACGAAATGTTAAATTTTAATATGTTTAAATTTTATGAAGATATCTTTTTTTGTCTTTTTACATTTATCAGCTTATCAAAAAGCTAATTTTACCAAACACTTCCAAGCACAACAACTAGCTTAATCGCTTTTCAGTTTTTAGCTCCTAACTTATAGTTTTTCAACTTTCTGCTCCTTTTTAGCTTTCAGCTACCTCTCCAGCTAAATTTGCCAAACATAGCATTTATATTGTTACTAAGGCTCTGTTTGGCAACGCTAAGCTAGGAGCTTATAGCTTATTTTAAGCTACTAATAAGCTATAAGCTCTGTTTGGTAATGTTCCCAAAATAAGCTCCTAGCTTAAAATAAAAGCTTATTTTGGAACGCTACTTTAGGTAGCTTTTGAAAATAAGCTACTAGCTTCCTAACTTTTTTTCCATCTTTACCCTTATTATTTTAAAGTAATGACATATTTTAACCTTATGAATTAAAACCCTTTCTCTTCCCCTATCCCAACTTTCACGTCAATCCCTTCATCTTTAGCTTATTATTATTATTATTATTATTATTATTATTATTATTATTATTATTATTATTATTATTATTATTATTTTTAAATTAGCAATATGGTTTCAACCAATGACAATATTTCTACTTCATTATGGGATGCTAGATCATGATCATGCTAATAGTTTTATTTTAAAAAATGTTTACTTTTTTTTTGGAAGACAAACTATTAAATTTTAATATGTAAACAAATTAATTTAAATTTTATGAAGATGTCCTTTTTAGTCTTTTTACATTTATCAGTTTACCAAAAAGCTAATTTTACCAAACACTTTCAATCATAACAGCTAGCTTAACAGCTCTTCAATTTTCAGCTCCGAGCTTATAGCTTTTCAGCTTTCAGCTCATTTTCAGCTATCAGCTCCTAGCTTATAGCAATCGTTATATCCT